CTCAACATCATGAAAATTAAACCTTATTTTCAATAAACAATCCTGAAAATATTTGGGGGTGCTTAACTTTTTTCCAGGTGTATATGTTAGAGTGAAACTAACAGTAGAAAAGTAGATAAGAAAAAATAATTTTATTTCCTCAAAGCGTGGTTCTAAAGTAATTGAATCAGCCTGAGTGTACTTTGACAAAAGGAACAGGGTATCTTCAAAAGATATAAGACCAAACGATTACGGTAACTCGTGCCACAATTGTAAGTGAATCACAGAGGGTACTAATATATCATTTTGAAAACAAAAAGTGCGTGCTGTTTATTCATCGCTGAATTTATCGTTAACAAGGCACAGACACCTACTGTAGAAGAATCCTAAGCCCAACAACAACTTAGTATATATTTATACTATTAAGAAATATAAGTTAAAATTCTGACAATTGGCGAAGATCAGATTTTTAAATTCTGACACGGTTGTTTATATTTCTTAGGTTGAAAATAAACTATGACTGTGTTATACGATATAGAAATACACCCAATTTGCATATTTTTGGATGCTTTAAACCTTGGGGATTACAAGTTGTTCAAATCAATTGAAGGGGGATCTTGTCTTAAGATATTTGACAATTTTGACTCGCTTTAATTACTAATGTCGAGGGCTCCTGAAGCATCAAACTGAGTTGCGACATCTACTGGTCAATTATGTAACATAATTGATAAAAAAATCAATGCAAATTTGCATTATAACACGAATATAACATCTTCGTAAATTACAATGCAAATATACTTTATACAAATAATTACTAGAAATACCACTGTATGATCTTTTTTTATCCCTGAATTGTAAAATCTCTTCAAAAATAAAATATAATTAATTCATTTTAAAGTTCTAAACGTGCCAGTGGGGATACTTTATATAGAAGTATTGATAATGTTATCTCTATTTTGAAGATATACTTTTCCTCTTAGAAACCAGCAAACAAAAACCATCCTGTCCATTTATTTTGATACTGGCAAACTTTAAGTCCTCAAAGAGAAACTCGTGGGCACTTTCAGTGACATTTCTTGTTCACATACTTTTTCTTCATACTTCAATAATTTGACCCCAACTTTTTTTTTCACTGTGCTATAACTGAAAGAAAATTGAAAAGAACTCTGTAATATGATCAAATTTGTCTTGCACTTTCAACTGTGGGCATGTTATAAAAGTGACAGTCATTCCCACTATTCAGTTCAAAAGAACCTGACACAGCCTTTGTGGTGACAGGTGCTGTTAGCTGCCTTTTCTATTGTTAAAAGTCAGAGATGGCTATATCTGAACAAAGGGCCACTTAACCCACTTGCATATAAGCTGCTATTCAGGTTCAGATTCCATTAAAGCTAATTCTGAACAAGGTAAATTGAGATACAAGGAAACTGTTCGTAACCCAGGATAGCTACCATACATGGAATGGTAATTAAAAACTTCACATTTCCTGTTTATATACGAGTTTTCTTCAAGATGGTTTTGGGAAAAATTGCACCATTAAATGAGGATAATAGTGGATTATGAGCAAAATCAAGGAAACATGACATAAGACTGATAATGAGAATGCCAAATTGACAAGAGTTTACAATAGTAATAAAATTAGGGTTATAAGGAACAGGGTCAGTTAGCATGGTTTCTTTTTTATAGGTTCCATTTTGTGATGCAAGTTGTTCTTGAAATTAAGTGACAGCTCTTATAACATCGTCGGGCAACAAGTTGGTTCAGAAAATTTTCCCTTGCTATAAAAATCTGAGAAATCTATTGGTGAACATGAATGAACAATGATGAGTTTTCCCCTCTTGCTTATTACTAACCCAACCACATGTGTTAAACAAATTATAAACAGACGAAGGTGAAGTGTAGCCAGCTTGATGCATCCTGTAGCCAACCTTCAATTTAAGTGTTCGACATGGTTGGTGGCAGTTGTCACTCATACAATCTGATGTCGGACATAATCAAACAACTGACATTATAAAAGTACTTATTATAAGTATGTACATTCTCTATCTTAATTCAAAACTCTACATGGTGTAAGGCTGGAACCATAGGACTGCAGTGAATTTTACAGAATGCTGCCTTTGTAATTCGAAATAAACTTGGATAACTTGATCTTTTCATGCTTTGACAGCACCATAATCAGTCATAAATATCAGATATTAAGAAAAGCTGCAAATCACCTATGGTTCCAGACTTTTCAGACACCCTGTATAACAGTGAAGTATTTGGTGTGTGTGTGTGTCGATGTTTTGACAATATTATATCATCCTCAGGTATAAGTAGTTCACAGAGGCACATGAATATATATACATACACATACACACACACAGTATTGAACAAAGAGATCACATGACCAGAGATTGGTTCACAGTTGTACATTTACAATAACGTTTTTTTTTCATTACCCAGTCAAGCCATCTCCAAACTTTATATTTCTAAAAAATCGGTTTGTCATTATCAAATACTATTTACCTAAACTCGGCACAAATTATGTTGGCATCTTTGTTTTTGATCTTAAAACTTGTTACTGTCAGATACTATAACAAGAATGGGCTTGTATCATCTGAGAAAACATAGCTAAGCTATAAAAACAGCGTATTCCTACGAACTAACAGAATCTGAACACGTCATACTCGGAGATAGTAGAGACAAAAAGTATGGTAATGTAATATCTGTTCCATTTTGTTTTTGTATATTTATTAACAAAGTCGCAGTCATGAAACTACACTAGAAGTACAAGGAAAATGAACATTTAAAATGGTAATTGTGGCCACAAGGTAAACACTTTTTTTGACATACAATTGCAGCACTTTTAATCACAATAAATTTTCTATAACACCACCAGGCTAATAACCTTGTAGTATGTTTAATTTGTTGAAAACATAGTAAAAGTTCAAATACATTACATATTAGATTGGTTTGTTTCAAATATTCATGCAAAGTTACATAAGGAGTATCTATGCTAGCTGTCCCTAATTTTGAACTGACAGGATTACTCAAGTAATCATTTTAATGATTAACATTTTATCATTTAAGACTGAGGAATTTGTGAGCAAAAAAAAAATTTTCACATTTCAGAAAATAAACAAAAACACGGGTGTCTAAATTACAATTGCATCAAAACACTGTAGTCAATTATCAACAACTATTTGTGATCTTTTTATTGTCATCTTAATTTATATTAACTGTTACTAAGACTAATTACAGCTCATATAAAAAATTTTCATGATTAATCAAACATGCAGGTGATTGAAATTCTAATTAAGAATTTAAGATGATGATAGTCTGTCAATCAGTATAAATTCCTGTGTGTTGTGTCAATTTAATAACTTGGTCTACTCTTCTTCTTTGTGCTGAAATAAAGTAAATTTTACAATTAATCACAAGTGCTTTGTGTCATAACATTTCAATCATATTTTTAAAAATA